GCATATTTTGTTAATGAAATTTTTTTATCCTTTCTAAAGATCATGGACATAGGTGAGTTAAACTAAACCACATTAAATTCTCATATTATTATTATTGTAGTTGTGCTTTCATTTCCTACTCCATGCATGTTTATTTTGGTTCCTCGTCCATCCAATTCCTAACAAGTGCTATCCGAGCCTAGTTTGATTATGGTCATCTGTGTATGGAGAAACAGAGGGTAAAATGATCTGATGACACAATCACCACCTGCTATGTTATCTAGGGTGCCATTCTCAAGGAAGAATGTTGCCCCACACTCCGTGTGGTGCTATGAAATTTGAAATGCTGCTCTTTGATGGGATGAGTAGTTGCACAATATAACACTGACAGTGCACAATACATATGTGTATTTATTCATATCACCTGTTATGGAATTACCTAAACACTTAGAAAATAGGTAGCAAACTAGCAATAATAATTAGGTGGTAAGAGGTCACAAAAACTTAAAAATGAGGATGTAAAGCATTGTTATCAATCAAACAATCAAATATCATGCACAGGAAAAATGAGAGAGAGAAAGAAGAAGAGATTTTTCTGAAATAAGATTTCACTCAAAGAAAAGGATTCTTCGTACTTTGTTTAGCATACACGGACTTTTATAGGCATTACAATTTATAAAACTTAATTACTAAGTAACTTTTAGTATTCTTCACTTTGAAGCAAATTAGAGACGGAGCAGCCATTGTGGAATAGTCAAAATTCCAAGCCCGTGTTGCAGTCATTCAACATTATCGGCTTGATTTAATTTTCTGACATTGCCTACCGTAAATTAAGCTTGTATCATAATTGTTAGAGGATTCTGGTTCATCAACAACTAGATCTGGTTGTCCCTCAAACTCTTCATAATTGTTAGAGATCACAATTTTCTTCTTTTGGGATTTAAAAGACCAATCCCACATGCCTTTCTCATCAAATGTCACATCTATATTGATAATGACCTTATTTGTCTATGGATTGTAAAGTTTATATGCCTTTGAATTTGAGCTATAGCCAATGAAGTTGATTGGGACATGTGCATATGCTATGCATCCAAAAATTCTGAGATGTCTAATTGATGGTCTCCTTCCACTCCAAGCTTCTTCTGGTGTCTTGTCATGAACACTCTTTGTTGGACACCTATTCAAGATATAAACAGCAGTAGCAACTGCTTCTGCCCAAAACTCTCTAGGCATCTGTTTGGCCTTTAACATACATCTCACCATATCCATGATTGTTCTATTCTTTCTTTCAGCAACTCCATTCTGTTGAGGTGTGTATCTAGTTGTTAGTTGGTGTTGAATTCCATGTTGTTCAAAGAAATTTGTACAAGCAAGATATTCTTGGCCTCTGTCTGTTCTCAATACTTTAATCTTGCAACCACTTTGCTTTTCTAAAAATGCCTTAAACATTTTGAAGACATCACATGCTTTTGATTTCTGTTTCAAGAAGTGTACCCATGTCTTTCTACTAAAGTCATCAATAAAAGTAATAGAATATCTACTACCACCATGATTTGGGATCTCAACTGTGCACAAATCTGAATGAACTATCTCTAATAGCTTCTTCGCCCTCCAAGATACTCCAGTTGGGAATGATTCTCTATGCTTCTTTCCAATCTCACACGTCTCACAAACACCATTAGGAATATTCACAATAGGCAAGCCAAAAACATATTCTTTAATCCAGAGAAGTGAAAATGTCCAAAGCGCATATTCCACAACCAATCATTATTGGGAACAATAAAACTTTTCATGACAAATTTTCGAAGGAAATAAGCGATTGGGGTCATTTTTACCTTAGCTATAAATCTTCCACTTTTGTCTATCAACGTGCAGTATCCATGATGAATCTGCATGTTGTAACCTTTCTCTGATAGTTGTCTCATACTCAATAGATTGTGATGAAGACCAGGAGCATAGAAAACATCAGAGATAAAATTTTGCGAACCATCTTTCAATCTAATATTAATTTGGCCTTTCCCTAAAATAGGAATATTTGTGTTGTTTCCAAATCTCACAGTAGATTCTATTGTTTCATCTAAAGATGAAAATAACTCCTTTTTCCCACACATATAATTGCTACATCCAGTATCCAAGTACCAAATATTTTCATCCTCAGAAAATGTATTGCTTGCCAAAAATAAACTTTGTGGATTATAAGAATTCTCACCAATATTTTGATGACTTTCTGCCACGTTCGCCTGTTGTTTAAATCTACATTCTGTAGCTTTGTGCCCAAACTTTCCACAGTAGAAGCAATTAAAGTTTTCTCTTTGTTGGTAATTGTTACCACGTCCTTTTCCACGGTTGGCAACACCAAAAGTATTTCCTCCTCTTTGGTTGAATGATCCAAGATTATTATCTCGTCCTTGATTGAAATTTCCACGTCCTCTGCCTCTATAGTTTTCTCGACCTCTTCCTTTATAATTTCCTCTTCCTCCATTATTGTAATTATCACGACCTCTACTTTCTGTACTTTGATTGGTTTCAGCTATATTGTTAAGATTCACCTGACTTTTTAAAGCTTCTTCATTTACTTTTTCTGTCTTCTCTAAGATTTTGCTCACATGACTTTCAATGTTTCCCTGCAACTCTGCTACAGTCATGATGTCTGTATCATGGGACTCAATTATTGTAGTTACCACATGATCAAACTTCATCGGCATTGTTCAAAGAATTTTTTTCCACCACTTTGCTATCAGGAATATCTTCTCCATATACTCTCATTTTGTTGACGAAATCTGTAACTTGTGAAAAATATTGTTCCACGGATTCAGAATTTGACATTTCATATCTTTCATATTCCCTTCGCAAAGATTGCAACTTGGATTTTTGAGCTTTCTCTACACCTTTATATGACAACTTCAAAATATTCCATGCTTCTTTAGCAATTTTGGCATTTGCAATTTTGCCAAAAATAGAATAATCTACTCCTTGGTGAATTTGTGACAGCGCCAATTGGTCCCTTCTCCTAGCAGTATCACCAGCTCCTTCTACTAATCCCGGTTCAACAAAGCTCCAAATATTGTGAGCTCTTAAATGTGTGGCCATCAAAGTCTCCCAATAACTAAAATCTAATTTCCCATCTAACTTGGGACCAAACCAAATAATATTGTAACTGGTGGCCATATCTCTCTCTCAAAGATATAACAACTCTATCTTTTTTTTTTTAACAAAGTGAGAACCCTCTTGTTCCTCACTCAAATATTTTTTTCTTTTCACTCACACTATCACTGGACTCTTAAGCTCTGATACCAATTGTTATCAATCAAACAATCAAATATCATGCACAACAAAAACGAGAGAGAGAAGGAAGAAGAGATTTTTCTAAAATAAGATTTCACTCAAAGAAAAGGATTCTACGTACTTTGTTTAGCATACACTACCTTTTATAGGCATTACAATTTATAAAACTTAATTACTAAGTAACTTTTAGTATTCTTCACTTTGAAGCAAATTAGAAACGGTGCAGCCATTGTGAAATAGTCAAAATTTCAAGTCCGTGTTGCAGCCATTCAACATTATCGGCTTGATTTAATTTTCTGACATAAAGCATCAAATCAAACTCTATACATTTAACATTGATTTCAAAATGACAAATAACGCAAGACACAACAAAAATGATGTCAGTTACATGTTATGAACCAGACAGATATACAAGCTTCCTAGCACTACATATACGGTTAACACTACATTTTTATCCTTGAATCTAACAAATTTTTTACTAAAATAAATTTTTTTTTAAATTTTACCAAAAAAGCACCTGTACCACTTTATTTACCCAAATAACACCTTTCACTATTCACGTTCAGAATTCAGTTTTCCGGGAATCGAATTCTGAGTTGTTAAATTTTATTTTTTTTGCTTTTTGGGTCTGAGCATGGTGTAAAACTGGATCCGGAACGGCCCGTTCTAAAAGGAGAACGGCCCGTTCTCCTTATAGAACGACCCGTTCTCCTTGCAGAACGGGCTGTTCTCCTTTCAGAACGGATCGTTCCGGATGAAAAAAATACACACATGACGAATGGATCAAAACGGGCCGTTCTGCTTGGACGTTCTAGTTTCAAAATTAACAGACTACGCATACAAGCAGAACGACCCGTTCTGCTTGGAGAACGGGCCGTTCCAGTTGCAACATTAACACACAACTCGAACTACAAACAAAAATGAAAAAAAGTTTAAACACTACTCAGAATTCGGTTCTCCGGGACCGAATTCTGAGCCAAAAAAAAATAAAAAAAAGATTGAAATTCAGAAATTTTGAGTGTGAACAGTAAAAGGTGCTACTTCTGTAAATAAATTAGAAGTTTTGGTAAAAAAAATTTAAAAAAAAATTATTTCAGTAAAAAATTCTGAATCCAACAGGTTCCTTCATGCCTACCCCAAAATCTAAGAGTCCACAACCCGAGCCATTAAAAAATTGTAATATACCTTAATGTATAGGACTTTTTTTCTATCTTCTAAGGATCACTGACACACATACTTAGGACCAGTTGTCTTATTTATTGTTTTTGTATTTCACTATTTCCTTTTCTTGTGCATTGATTGTGGATGCATCCACACCCCAATAATAACCATGAAACATAAATAAATCACATAGCATTATTCACTTTAGAAGATTTGTAACCTTCAAAAATCGCTTCCATGGCTTTCATTTTGGCCATGTGCGAAACGTCACAAATATTATATTATTTATTTATAAAAGTGAACAAAGGTTGGTGTCCAATTGAAAAGGGAATGACTCATCTTAGAATGTGAGTTCCTTTGTTATCGATATGAAGACCTTGCTAGTTGACAATTTGTAAATATCTATACAAGTGCTCATAGAGTCTTGAGATCTATTATGATAAACTCAAGAACCAACTCACTTAAACATTAATTATATATATATATATATATATATATATAGAT